GAGGAGAGAAGAGATGCCTCTGGGAGATTGTGCCAGGGAAGAATATAGCAACTGGAGCCAGGTTGGAGATAGGAGGGAATGGCAAAGAGGACTTCCTGGCTGACAAAAGAAAGGGTAACTTTTTGAGGGGGAAAAAATGGGACAAGGGAGAAATGGATTGCTTTGTTAAAAAGGGAGGTGAGTTCAAATAATTTTGTTATTTTTTGTGAGCCCTCTCCAATTCTTTTCCTTAAGGTTTAATGATAAGTTTCAACAGAGATGGTTCTGGCATAAACTGAAGCAATGATTAAAAGACAGAGACGCTGTGTCCTGGAGTTTTGTCATGCTGTACTCCTGCCACTCATTTAGTTTTTAGGCTTGCAAGTTTTAACTGGGCCCAATTGCTGATGTATATTTTTAACTTTTGTTGTTTCTGTCAATCCTTGTCAATGCTGAAGAGCTTCTCCTTTTCCAGAAACTTTACTGTGGTAAAAAAGCAACTGACAAGCACATAGTACATTGCACCCTGTAGGCATCAATAGACACTTGTTTCCTAACGGCCTGGCTGAATGTGTCTTCAGGAACATAGGCAATAAACCCAACTTCCTTCAAAATAACAGGTGTGGTATCTGGGAGGCATGCCCCTGAGGCCTTGTTAAATACATAACTGACAACAGGAGGCACCTGTATTTTATGACCTATTCAAAGCGAGAACTATTTCAGTCATTCACCAACATACATGTATATGTGTGAGAAAATGAACGCTGATCCCTAAGCACCTTGAGACTCCTATAAGGATTAGGAAAAGCAAGTCACAAGGGAAGTAGTCAATAGTTGCAAAACTGGTCAAGTCAAAGAGATGAGATATTGTGGGGCAATAATAAACTTGGATGAAGTTTGAATTGATAAGTTAATCACTTAGCCTTTAGGAATATATGGGGACAAAATGTGGAAAGTTGGGGGGAGGTTGAGAGCACGTATGTATTAAAAATGCATCATTCATATTCCTGCCAGTGTTATCTTTGTAAAGTTTGAGCATGCTACTTTTTTGCCTAAAGCCCTACAATTAACAAGAAATTTGACATGAATGTTAAGTTTTGGAGTAGGTGAGGCTTTCTAAACAATGAAATAAGTAAACAACAATAGATTTAATTACACAAATCTTTAAAATTTTCTACATAAAAATAAAGGTCAAATAAGAAATGAGGTACATACTTTCAGACACTCAGAGCATTAAATCGTTGATAGGTAAAGCACCCCTAAAAATAAAAATAATCGTTAAATGGCAATATAGAAATGAGTAAACAATATGGAGATGATTTTCTAAGTAGAAAATGCATGTAACCGACAATCATTTTTTAAACTTCAAGAACATTTCTAATTAGAAGAATCCACATTAAACCATTTTTACTTATCAAATTAGCAAAGATTTTTAAAAAAAACAAGAGTGCAGAATATTAGTCATACTTTATAATGGAAAAAAAAAAGGATGAGCAGGTATCTTTAGAAGCAGAATAATAATGTTTTAAATATTCAGTTCTTGAAGTGAACAGAGGAGAGACCAAGATGGCGGCATAGGTAAACACCGGAGACTGCTGCCGCAAACAACCACTTCAAAAATACAACTAAAAGACAGAACGGACATCACCCAGAACCACAGGAAGGCTGGCTGAGGAGAGACTCTTCAACTAGAAGGAAAAATAACAGCACACCGAGGCTCAGAGGAGGCGCAGTGTGGAAAATACTCAGGTGCGGAGGTGCGCGCGCAAAGCGGGCTGGTGGCTGAGAGCGCGGTTGTCGTTTTCGGTCAGGGGGGAGTCTCAGACTCTGAGCTCCAGATACGGGCGAATCGCTGGGGACTCGGACCCAAACGGGAGAAGCGGGAGTGTCTGGCATCAGTTGGAAGGCAGCTTTCCCTCCGAGGTTTGCAGCGGTTCCGGGGGTTCTGAGAAGCAGAGCCTCTGGGAACAGGACTGAGGGCACCATAACGGCTCCCTCCGCCCGCCCTGTTGAGCCCGCCCCGCCCAAGCCCTGCGCAGAGCCATTTGCCGGATCGCCTCAGGCAAAGGCTAGATTAGCACCTCCCCAGAGGACAGAAGTTTTCCGCGGCAGACACAGCTGATTCACACAGCCAGTCGGCCTGGTGGTCAAATCCCTCTAGTATTAACTACAACAATCAAGGCTCAACTAGAACAAGACTGCGCACAAAGACCACTAGGGGGTGCACCAAGAAAGCATAAAAAATGCGGAGACAAAAAAACATGACAGAAATGGAGGATATAGAGCTAAAAATCGCAATTTTGAGGGCTTGCAAAAATGTGCTAGAAGCTGTCAATAAACTTGAGGAGAGAGTCACGAAAACTAATGAGACCCTCGATGCTATGATAAAGAACCAACTAGAAATTAAGCATACACGGACTGAAATAAAGAATATTATACAGACACCCAATAGCAGACCAGAGGAGCGCAAGAATCAAGTCAAAGATTTGAAATGCGAAGAAGCAAAAAACACCCAACCGGAAAAGCAAAATGAAAAAAGAATCCGAAAATACGAAGATAGTGTAAGGAGCCTCTGGGACAGCTTCAAGCGTACCAACATCAGAATAATAGGGGTGCCAGAAGATGAGAGACAGCAAGATATTGAAAACCTATTTGAAGAAATAATGGCAGAAAACTTCCCCCACCTGGTGAAAGAAATGGACTTACAGGTCCAAGAAGCGCAGAGAACCCCAAACAAAACTTGAGACTCCTATAAGGATTAGGAAAAGCAAGTCACAAGGGAAGTAGTCAATAGTTGCAAAACTGGTCAAGTCAAAGAGATGAAATATTGTGGGGCAATAATAAACTTGGATGAAGTTTGAATTGATGAGTTAATCACTTAGCCTTTAGGAATATATGGGGACAAAATGTGGAAAGTTGGGGGGAGGTTGAGAGCACGTATGTATTAAAAATGCATCATTCATATTCCTGCCAGTGTTATCTTTGTAAAGTTTGAGCATGCTACTTTTTTGCCTAAAGCCCTATAATTAACAAGAAATTTGACATGAATGTTAAGTCTTGGAGTAGGTGAGGCTTTCTAAACAATGAAATAAGTAAAGAACAACAGATTTAACTACACAAATCTTTAAAATTTTCTACATAAAAATAAAGGTCAAATAAGAAATGAGGTACATACTTTCAGACACTCAGAGCATTAAATCGTTGATAGGTAAAGCACCCCTAAAAATAAAAATAATCGTTAAATGGCAATATAGAAATGAGTAAACAATATGGAGATGATTTTCTAAGTAGAAAATGCATGTAACCGACAATCATTTTTTAAACTTCAAGAACATTTCTAATTAGAAGAATCCACATTAAACCATTTTTACTTATCAAATTAGCAAAGATTTTTAAAAAAACAAGAGTGCAGAATATTAGTCATACTTTATAATGGGAAAAAAAGGAAGAGCAGGTATCTTTAGAAGCAGAATAATAATGTTTTAAATATTCAGTTCTTCACTCTTGCTTCTTAGTACATCATCCAAATTTTTCCATGATGCAGCCCCTGCCTACTGCTTCTGCTTTTCTCATGGTCCCTCCTTCCCCAGGTTATTGTCCAGCAAACCTAACTCAGTCAACTTGGGAGGACTGAGGGTGGCTTAATTTCTGTCTCTGGATACAAGTGTTTCTGGGTTTATTTACAAGATTTCGAGGGTTCTTGGATTGGCTGAAGCTGGTCCATGCATGGTCAATTGGGTCTTCCAGGAAGCTGATGAAGATGTAGTAGTTAGGAGGGCAAGGGATTTATTGGGGGTTAACTCCGGGGAAAGGAGAGGAAGGAAGAATTAAGGTTGATAGGTAGAGGGACTGATGGGAAACAATCAGTGAGTCTGAGGCCTGGGGAGGGAGTGGTCAGGGAAGCAGGGGGTGCTGGTGAATGAGGATAACAGTTAAATAACCAAGTGATCAAAATCTTACTTTTCTTAGCAGAAAATTTACCTTGGAAGGACCCATTTTGGAAAGGCATATAGACAGACATGGTACTTGGGATGGAAGGCAATACCACCAAGAAGATCACTGAGTAAGTTACCTATATTGTTTTACTTTGTAATTCTACATATTGAGCATTTTAATTATTTTGAGTATTTTTATTTTTATATGAATTTTTATTGTAATCGCATTAAATATATGAATTAACTTAGAAAGAACTGATGTCTTTAAAATATTGAATCTTCACCTAGAACAGGATATGTGTGTGCTTGTTTTACACAGTTCTTGTACAATTTAGAAATGTTTTCAACATTTTCCCATTTAGGTTTTATATATTTCTTACTAAGTTAGTCACTAACCATTTTATGTCAGTGTCATGTATGTAGTTTCCTGATTTGTTATATCTTGTATTTGGTGGCTTTTATATATATACTAAAGGCCTGTTGCAGGAAGATTCCTGCAAGAATAGGGCTTCCTGTGGCCGGAGCAAAGCAGAGAAAGGAGCGAAACCCACCGAGGCTTTGCTCTCACCTCTGCTGCCCCGCGTGCTTCTCCTCAGCTTCGCTACCTTCTGCAGTGCTTGGCTTCTTTCTACGTTGTCTTCAGTCTTCGCTCTGCGTGCCTGTGTATGCAAATTAACCACCATCTTTGTTGGGTTAATTTGCATACTCATCTGATTGGCTGGTTGGCGTAGCGGAGTGACACCAATTTGCATGTTTCTCTTTTATTAGTGTAGATTAGGAGGCTGACCCATTTGGGCCAAAGATATTAGATCCCTTCTCAGCCAGGAAAGCTTGGGATTCCCAGTCCTGCTTGGAGCCTACCCTTGAAAAGATGTGACCCTAGGTGTCGACACGTCCTCTAGAATGACCAAAACCTGAGATTGGGCTACAGCCATCAGGGCTTAATATCTTCACAAACCAGATTGTCCCTCTTCCGTTTGAATCAAGGGATCATGGGTAGAAACAAATCCCTGTCATCTCAAGTGAATTTTGGAACAATCATCACATTTTGGTAACATTAATTATTTTACTATGTGTGTTTTCTAGGAAACCTGACGAAGCATATGAAATCTAAAGCGCACATGAAAAAATGCCTGGAGTTGGGCGTCTCAATGACTTCAGTGGATGATACAGAAACCGAGGAAGCAGGTATTTATCATTTAGTTGGTGGACTATTGCACTACGTATGCTTCAGCTTTGTGGCCGGTGGTAAAATAAGTTTAGATGTGTGTTTTTTTTAAAAATGATCACATTTTATTTTATCAAATACTAAATATAGAAAAGAAGTCTGACATAGTGAATTGCTTGAAACCCACTAAGAAGAAGCAAATGCATTTCAGTTTATAAGTAGGAAGGGAGAAAGGTCTTACCAAGAAAATATTTCTATCTAGAACCATAAAGGAAATCCAGCTGTACTTTTGTTGTGTTAGGAATGTACATTTTATAAAACTTTCTGGGAAATTTGAAAATTTGAATGTCTTATTTTTCCTATTAAGAGGAAATAAAATAGGAAAAGAAAACATCATTAACCTCAATAGAAAACCTGAGGCTCAGCCAAACCTCCTGAGATACTCTCCTTACACATAAGCTTATACCTGTAGAGATAGGTTGTTGCTTTTATTTATTTTTTTCTAACATTATCATTTACAACATTACATACATATTTGTTGGGAGTTTTCTATTAGTGGTGTGATATCTGAGATATAAGATCCTACTCTGGAGTTTTTACTATAAGGTGGGTTGACATAGGACAGGTACATGAAAGATAAGAACCAATGCAGGTTTACGGAGGTATGTGTCCAGTGAGTGTTACAGGAGTTCAGAGATGGTACTATCTGCAGGGGCTGGAGGGTTGAGGAAAGCTTTTGGAAAGAGATGGGGCCTAAATTAGCTCCTAATCTTGATGTTTGGATCTGGAACTCCACTATCTTTGTTCAATTGTTTCAGAAACTATGGAAGATTTGCACAAAGCAGCTGAAAAGCATAGCATGTCCAGCATTTCAACTGATCATCAGTTCTCAGATGCCGAAGAATCGGATGGTGAGGATGCAGATGATAATGATGATGATGATGAAGATGATGATGACTTTGATGACCAGGGAGATTTGACACCAAAAACCAGATCAAGAAGTACCAGTCCTCAGCCTCCTAGATTCTCCTCCTTGCCTGTGAATGTTGGCGCCGTACCCCATGGGGTTCCCTCAGATAGTTCCCTGGGACATTCTTCATTGATCAGCTATTTGGTTACTTTGCCAAGTATTCAGGTTACTCAGCTTATGACACCAAGTGACTCATGTGAAGATACCCAGATGACAGAATACCAGAGGTTATTCCAGAGCAAAAGTACAGACTCAGAACCAGACAAAGACAGGTTAGACATACCCAGTTATATGGATGAAGAGTGCATGCTGTCTTCAGAGCCCAGCTCCTCTCCGGGGCTAATGCTCTATCCACTGAGCAAAACAGGCTGCAGCTTAATTCATTTACTTTTAATCTATATGTGTCTTTATATTTAAAGTGGGTTTTGTTTTTGATTCACGCTCATAATCTATCTTTTAATTGGTGCATTTATGCCACTGACTTTCAGAGTGCTTACTGATAGAGTTACTACCATATCAGGTGGCTTCTGGGGCTTCCGGGGCCAGCCTGCGGCCTGGGACCGGATCTGATCATGGGCAGCAGGCAGGCGGCTTCTGGGGTCACCCAAGGAGGCCTGGAAGGCGGCTCGCGCTGTCCTGCCCTGCCTGCAGTATGCAAATTAGCCACCATCTTGTTGGTGGTTAATTTGGGTATCTCGCTGATTAGCCCATGGGAGGTGTAGCGAAGGTACGGTCAATTACCATGTTTGTCTATTATTAGATAGGACTAGAGGCCTGTGCCCAAAATTTTTGCACTTGGGGGGGCCCTCAGCCTGGCCTGCACACTCTCACAGTCCGGGAGCCCTCGGAGGATGTCTGACTGCTGGCTTAGTGCTGCTGCGAAGGCAGGAGAGGCTCCCGCCACTGCCGCTGCACTTGCCAGCCATGAGCCCGGCTCAGGGCTTCCAGCTGGGCGGCGCTCCCCCTGTGGGAGTTCACTGACCACCAGGGGGCAGCTCCTTCATTGAGCATCTGGCCCCTGGTGGTCAGTGCACATCATAGTGACTGGTCATTCAGCCATTCAGTCTATTTGCATATTAGCCTTTTATTATATAGAATAAAAGCTATATATTTGTTAATATTAATTTACCCTATTGGATTCTCTTTTTTGGGTTATCTTGCATTTACAGTTAGTTATTTTTTCTTAATATAGTACTAATATCACCTCCTCCTTTAGTTCTAATATCTTTTCCTTGTCTAATTACATTGACTAATAACTCCAGTATAATGTTAATAATACTGTTACATTAATTACAATAATAAGTTATAGTGAATATCCTTTTATTTTTCCTAACTTTAGCAGGAATTGCTCCATTAAGTATAATGCTGACTCTAGGACTAATTATACACTTATACACAGAAAAACTACTGAATAAGTATCCTTCAACTCCTTTTACTCTTTAACAATATTTTTTAATGACTTTCTGAGAAAGACAAAGGGAGGGAGAGCATGAGAGCTAAACATTGATTGTCTGCCTCCTGCACACACCCCGCACTCCAACTGGGGATTGAACCCACAACTCGGGCATGTGCCCTAACCTGGAATCAAACTGGTGACATTTGGGTACATGATCCAACACCCAACCAACTGAACCACACCGGCCAAGGCAATTTTTTTAACAGTTACCCCAGAAAATTTTCCCACCCTTTCTTTCCTCAATCAGTTTTGTTATTCCCTTAAGACTCAACTTCCCTACACAAGCATGTTCTGTTGATTTCAGGAGGATTGTTTTTCTTTGCTATTTACTGGCACTCTGAGTACTTTTATGTTGTAAGGGTAGTTTGCAACTACTCAGTCTTTTCTGTCAGATTTACTTTTGATCCTCCAAACTTGGTTTACATGAATAGAAACAAAACAAAACAGTGTTGGTCTCTTTCTAACACTGTGACTTCATCAAGCCACTCTGACTCTCTTGATATCAGCTTCCTCATAAGCAAAACAAAGGAGTTGGTTTAGATCAGTTCCAACCCTGTAATGTGGAGCTCTAGGATTGTCCCAGGAAAAGCTCCAGAGTCTCTAAGAAGGAGACCAGGGAAGCATATCTCCTTGTTCATCTTTTACTTCAAACACAGCCACTATTCTCTTATCTGTCTTATTTATTAAGTTTTTTTCATGAGATTTCTTTTGAAGAACAGGTCGATCAACTTAGAATTTGAAAATGACTAATCCATTTCAGCTCTCACATTTCATCTTCTCTAGTTCTCCTGGTTTTTTTTTATTTTTTTATTTCCCTGACATACTTCATGGTAACCTGTGTGTTGGCAGTACCATCTCACAATGTTGTGTCAGGGATACAAAAAATGATTCATTAAATGCCTTTTAAGAAAAAAAAGTGAACAAATGTATTAATCGCTTTGTTAATCCCATCACAGATGTTTAAAGATAATCATTAAGTTCCAGACATTCTTTAAGAGAATAGAGACAGAATGTTGAAAACTCAGATAAATATCTGCCCTCCTGGAATGCTCACTGAATCATTGCCTTAAGTAACAATTATTGGACACCTAATATATTGCAGATATTTTGTTAAATCTTAGTTATATCAAGACCTATTGCACCCTGTCCCTTTCCTTGAAGATGTCGAAGTCTTCTAAGAGAAAACATGTAAATAGATTATTAAAATAAAACTTGGTACTTACTATTAGAGGATTAAGGGAAGAGTGCCAGGAGTTTTCAGAGAAATGAATTCTGACTCTGGCCGAAGTAGTGAGAAAGATTTCAGAGACCTGTAATCAGTTCTAGGACTGAGAACTGTGCCGCGTGGAGAAAATCCATAAACACTGGCAGTAGGAAAGTATGTGGAAGGCACAGAGAGAAGAAAAACTAGGGAGTGCTAGGAGGAATTTGGCATGATTGCCCAGCTCAGTCAGTGGTTGGACATAAAAAGGTAAGCTGCAGCCCAGCCAGTGTTGCTCAGTGGTTGAGCATCATCCTATGCTCCAGGAGGTCACCAGTTTGATTCCAGGGCAGGGCACATGCCTGGGTTGTGGGCTCAATTCCCAGTGGGAAGCACGCAGGAGGCAGCCAATTGATGTTGATGTTTCTCATTGATGTTTCTATTTCTCCCTCTCCCTTCCTCTCTCTCTAAACTCAATAAAAACATATTTTTTTAAAGTAAGCTGCAAAGTCATTTTTTTGCTTCAAATTATAAAGTTATTTCATGCCATAAAGCTTTTGAGTCCCATAATTTAGGGATATACAGTCAATAGAAATTTTTAAGGGTGATGTGGCAGCATAGATTTGTCTCCTAAAAAAAAGGTAACATGGGCTGGCATAAAGAGCCCAACAAGCAGGAGAGCAGTAAAGACGCTGTTGCAATACGTCAGAAGGAAGGAGAAGAGAGTCTGAAGGATGAGGAGAGGGATCCCAATGGAGAGAATACTTCAAATTGAGTTAAAAGGATCTGGTGACTGGCAATCACTTAGTAGTACTTTAGCATAGAAAAAGGTGATAAAACATTTTTCAAAATATTATATTTATCATAAAACCTGACTAGCAACTGCTAACTCTCTCATGTAAATATATAGTCAGTCCACTTGCAGAGGCGAATGGATGACTTAACTAAGGTCTGACAAGATACTCTAGGATAAGAGATAAAGGGAAATTCCCCATGAACAGTCAGTCCACCTTAGATGGATGTCACAGGCATTGTTAATAATTTCTCCAGGCATTTCCCAACCGAAGGAAGAATTAACACAGGAGCTCACATCTTGCCAGATAGTCCAATCTGGAGTCTCTCCTTTTGTTCCATCAGAAAGCTGACAGTTAGCCATGGCAGGTTCTTGTTATTCATGATGACTTCAAGTGCAGTATCGGTGGTGTGCCTTGGCTGGGAGGGGCGAGCGGGTGTCAGGAAGGATTGTTTTCTGAAACAGCAGATGGTTTGGAAATCATCTCCCACGACAGACCCAACAGACTAGAATTTCAATTCTCTGTTTCTGAAGTGGTGATGAAAAGGGCCCAGGCGGGAAATTAACTCTCCTGATTTAACTGCAAATGACAACCCATTGCACAGTCAAAGCACAAACTGGTAACAAGAAGGAAAGATAAATGTGAGGCAAGTGGGATGTTCCTAATTAACGGCAATCTACTTCAAGTAAATTTCCCTAACTCGATGTTATTGCACATATGAGGGAAGTCAATTCATGCATTGCAAGGCTTGATCTTATAATGTTGCTCTTGAAAAAAATGAGATAATCAAACAACAGAAGGATTATATTAACCAGGGACCTGGATTACAGTGAGTCAGAGTGAGGTATCAGGCAATCGAATCTAGTCAGTGTATCCAGAGCAGGATGCAAATAAGTAATTTGGACATCTTGAATGAGCTCTGCCAACTTCAAAGTCTCATGAAAATGTTGTAAACATGCCATGCATTTTCATCTGAGAGTGGAAGGTGATTAACAGTGATTTCAGACTTCTATTTGACCATTATTATTATTATAGCTTTTTAAATGTTTCCCCTGACATCCTTCCTGTGTAAATGAATATGTCCCAGGGAAACTTCAGTAAATAAGATGAACTAATGTAAAATGTTAAATAATTCATGGTTTTGGAAGCCACTGGGACTTAGCTCATGTTTTCATAGAAACCAAACCACCATTGTGATGCAGGGAAAAAAGGCATCTGCATATGAAAATATCTCGAGTGTTATCTTTCAGCCTAAACGTGTGGTCAGTAAGTAAAAGGAGGAAGAGGAGCATGTTAAACTAATACAGCACATGCCACTTCCACCATTCTATAACAGTAGAGATGACGAATAGGATTTTGATTTGATATATTTTGTTGTGTTTCATTTGGAGTTCATCTCCCTGCCTGTGTCATCATTTCTATCAGTCTGAATTGGACTGGATGAGGCGGTCAGGTGGGATGTGGAGGTAAGACTGAGACAGCAGAGGCAACATTGAGGAGGAGAAGGCAGCATAAAAGGAATAAAGACCTGGAGTATTTGTGTTCCAAGTTCTGCCCCTATAAGGTCTGATATGGGGTTTGTTGTAGAACTGCTCTGGGCCACTGTTTTCTGATCTGTAAAATGTTATGATGATATCAGCCTCACAGGGCTGTTAGGAAGATTAAATGAGATAACATGTATAAGCAGATTAAGGTGTCTGGTACAAAGAAGGCGCACAAAATGTGGAACCTACCTGAACGTACTGTTCCCAGAAAGGACCAAACACTGCCAGCTTCCCCTGGAAGGGAATTCCCAGAGGTCCCCTCACTATTAACACCAAGACAGTAAGCCAAAGAGGTTGTGAGTTCATTTTAAAGACAAAGTTCTTGGTCTTCAATACCAAATCTACCACTTACCAGTCGTGCCATAGCTACTTAGCTAGCCTCAATTTCCTCATCAATATACTAACGATAATGTTAGCACTTACCCTATTGACGGTTTGCAAGGATGAAGTGAAATAATCTGCCTTAAGTAATTAGTACAGTTTTAAGCACATGGCAGACTCTCTAAATGCTACCTTCTAGTATCTGTTGACTAGAACCCACAGAATGAGAGCCATGACAATTCTATCTGTAATCAGGGGCAAACAGAGAGAATGGTTTTCCTCTCTCACATAGTACCTTGCTATGAAAATGTGACAAAACGAGAACTTTTCTTCTAAATGTTGGTTAAACATGGTTTGTTCCAAAAGGAATTTTTGACTATTTAACAAATAATTCAGCTCTTTTAAACACTGTTTTAGAGGAAAGATTTAAAACTATTAATAGTTCCACTTCCAATATTTGAAAGCATTGGGGAGTGGTCAAAGTGATAAAATTCTCAAGGATAGTCAATTTTTGAAATAAGGAAACTATACTATGTGAGTTTGCACTTGTGCAGCTTTTCTCCTGTGGGCACACCCCGATCCATATTGTGTGGGATGGCTGAAACTCAAACAGAGAAACTTTGTCTTTCTGGCTTCATGAGTCAGAGGACAGAATTTGGTACTACCAGAGTGGCTAGAACGTAAGGGGAGAAATGAAGAAGAGCTCATAATATTGTGTAAATTCTGCCCCGTCCCCGGCTGAGGCTTGAACTGCAAATAGTCCAGGGAGACATCAAGGAGCCTGACTGAAGGACTATAACTAGAAGACTGAGGGAAGTGAGCCAAAGTTTCAAACTATTTATAGTAGGATTTGCAGAATTCAGAGTTTGTTTGCAGCCAAAGTTAACTGCTTGCTAAAATAAAAATCACCATTCTTCAGGAAGATATCAGAATACAAAGTATCTGTAACACTTCTTATATAATATTCAGCATATAATTAAAAAAAACACTAGTTATGAGGAAAAATGTGGCTCATCATCAAGAAAAAAATTGTCAGTAAAAACTGACCCTGACATGTTAGAATATGTAGGTGAAGAGTTTTAAAATAGTTACTATAAATCTGTTCAAAACTGACTTAAAGATTATTATTCAAAATGAACAGATGGAAAATCTGAGTATATAAGTAAAAACTCTAAAAATGAATCAAATGGAAATTCTACAACTGAAAAGTGCTACATCTGAAATGAAAATGTCAGTGAACTTGAAGACATATCAAAAGAATCACCCAATTGGAATAATAAAGATCAAAACTTAAGAACAAAAGCTCAGTGACTGTAGGACAAAACAAGCTGAATATATATATATAATCAGCTTGTTATATAAATAATAGTCCAAGATAAATAATTGGACAAAAAATATTTGAAGAAATGATTATCAAAAATTTTCCAAATCTGATGATAAATAGCAACTTTTAGCTCCAAAGATTTCAGTAAATCCTAAGCAAATTGAAAACAAAGAAAAGAGCAATTATTTATGGGATGGTTAATTTTATGTGACAAATGACTGTGTACCACAAGATGCCCAGATTAAACATTATTTTGGGGTGTGTCTCTGAGGGTGCATGTGAATTGGTGGACTCAATAAAATAAATTGCCTTCCCAAATGTGTGAGACTCATCCAATCCCTTGAGGGCCTGAATAAAACAAAAAAAGCAGAGAAAAGGAGAATTCACCTCTTTTTCTTCCTGACTGCCTACTTGAGCAGCTTGAGCTGAAACATCCTGCCCCAGGGCTGGGACTTACACCACCCATTCCCTTGATTCTCAGGCCTTCAGAATCAGACTGAATTTATAGCACTGGCTTTTCTGAGTCTGCAACATGCGGACAGCAGATCATGGGACTTCTCAACTTCCATAATCACATGATCAAATCCTCATAATAAATCCCCATTCATATATACACTATCTCCTACTGGTTCTGTTTCTCTGAAGAACCCTAACTAATACAAGCCACATCATAGACTTGCTGAAAATTTGAAAACCAACACAAAAAATATTGAAAGTAGCCAGAAAAATGACTCAATATTTAAGAGGGGGGAGAAACAACAAAAGTAATGGTTGAGTTATCAGAAAACATAAAGGTCATACGACACTGGAAGAATATATTTAAGGGACTAAGAGAAAAGAAAAAATAACTACCAATCTAGAATTCTATATTCAGCAAAATTGTCCTGTGGAAATAATGTCAAAATAAAGGTAGTTCTCACTCAGATAAACAAAACTAAGAGAATTTATTGCTTAGTAAATTACTTCATAATAAAGAGAAATGACACCAGATAGAAACATGGATCAATAAGAGGTAAAGAAGAGCAACAGATATGGTGTGGGACACCTTATAATAATAAAAGTCTCAAATAGGCAAAATGTGTATGAGCTTAAATATAAAGCTTCAAAATCTAAATAAGAAACTGAAAAATCTAGAGGGAAAGTAAATCAATCTTTAATATTGCAGATTTTCACATTCCTCTTTCAGTAACTGATAGAAACAAGGATTGGCTGATAAAACAGAAATGGCTAGAACAACTATATAAAAAAAATCAGTTAAGAGATCAAATAAAGATTAGAGAAATACTATCCACCAGTTTAACCAAACTGATATCTGTGAAACCTTATATACCACAAATGTACACAGCAATTATTTAAATTGCGTTGTGCTGAGAGCACATTCACAAACATAAATTATATGCTGCATCTAATCCAAGTCTTTAATAAAGGTCAAAACGTGAAATATTAAATAATATGTACATTTTGAAAAAATTTGGATAAAGTTCCAAATTTGTGAAGATAAAATAATACAGTTCTAAATAACTAGTGGGCCAAAGAAGAAATCACAAAAGAATTTAGAATATTCAGAAATTCAATGTATTACAATTCATGTGATTCAGTTAAAGTAGAGCACGGAAATTTATAACAAGTTATATAGCCAATATTTTCTTAAGAAGTTAAAAATAAAAGAATAAAATTAAAGCCATAAAAGTAGAAGGAAGAAAAAAATAAAGATAATATCAGAACTCAGTGAAATAGAAAACAAAATTAGAAAATTGACAAAACTGATATTTTTTCGCTTGAAAAGATTAAT